TATGTTTGTTAAACAAAGTAATATCAGCTTTGCCTCTAGGGCCTAGAAATCCACAAGTTTGTGGCCCAGGTAACATACCAGGTATGGTTTTATCTTGTGGAGTAGGCATTAAGTCCGGTCGCAATGTGGGGTTGTTAATTACTCCTATGATGGTTGTGTCACTATTACATCAGTGGACCTGTCTTGCAGGGCCAGACATTTTCACAGCTGGCAGTGTTCATGGTGGAATAAGACTAATGATTACTTTTCTCCTCTGGCCGTGTGCACGGCCCATCTAGCACTTTGAAAGGTAGCTATTAGGAGAGTGAGTACCAGATTCATTTCTCCGTTTATGACTCAAGGATGTAGTAGTATCTGTAGCAATAGAATATAACCAATAAGTTCTGGAGGGTAACCAAGAGCATAGGCAATAGTCTATGATGTTGGTGGGGGGGCGTGTGTGGTGGTATATGGTTACCTTCCTGGCCAACAACTCCAGGCAAATGAGGAGGGATAATTAACACTACAGATATTTGGAAAAGTTACATGGAAACATACTAACACAGACAATTCCTAAACTATATGCATATAAGGAATTTAAGATGGCTGTGGTGGAGCGGGCTTTTAATCCCAGCACTAGGGGGGCTTTTAAGCACTACAGCTCAGATGGAAAGGTATCTTGGCATTCAGAAGCCAAGGAATACCACAAAACGACACTGCCTAACAAACTCACACAAGAGATTTACGGGGAGTGGCTGCCTCTGCTAGGTGATAAGCAGCAGCAGCAAGCTCAACAGGATACAGGGCTTAGTTTTGGTTTCTTTCTGGCAGAGCTTTGCAGGGTGAAGATTTTCAGGATGGGGATTGGTACGATCTCGGGGCAAGTTTAGAGATTGGTGGGATTTCGTGCTCAGGGATTAGTTGGATTTCATACTTAGGGATTGGTGAGATTTTGTGGCCTGGTCTTGGGGCAGGCTCAGGGACTGGTGGTATTTTAAGTCCTGAGCTTGGTCAGTGCATGGTTTTTCCTTGGCTCCGGCTTCAGGGTCAGGTGTTCTTTCATAAGGAAACACATGTCAGCCAACTGAAATTTGTGGAATTTAATCAGATTTAGGGGGTGCTGGTAGTGAATTCAGGGTTCTGAGCATGCTACATAAGCAATATTGCCACTGGGCTACAGGCCCAGCCAGTCCTTATTTGGGTCTTTCTGTTGTTCGATGTTTTGAGAAAGGGTCTCGCCACATTTGCTAAGAGTAAGGAATTACTATTCACATTTCTATGCTAGTGTTTGACTAGCTTAAAAATGTGTCCTTTAGAAGTAGCACTGAAATCCTAAAAGGTGCAATGTATGAAAGTAAATACTTCAAGTTAACAAAGAAGTGGGTAGTAGGTGGGTTACAGATTATGAAGTGATAATTTCTGAAATAGGGTGATGAGGGATGGCAAGATGCCTCAGCCTGACAACCTGAGATCCCTGGGATCCACATGGAAGAAAGAGAAAATCCACTCCTGAAAGTTGTTCCAAGTTTCCTATGCCTCCCTTCCTCCCAAACAAACATACAAATAAATGAATCAAACTGCACAACGGGTTGAGGTTTTAGTTACTCTTGTGTTACTGTGGTAAACACCAACAGCAAAAGTAATTTGGGGAGAAAAGGGTTTACTTCATGCTTGTAGGCCACACTCCATCACCGAGGAAGTTCCTCTCCCCAGATGTCTAGGTTTGTGCTAAGCTGACCAGCAGAGTTAGGATGTGCCACAGTAGTCTTTAAATATTTATAAATATCTGAAGTTGCTGTTGTTATTACTGCCTTAGCTTTGGAACCCTGACTTCCACGGGGAATGAGTGTGTAAACTAAAGTTAGAAAGCAATAAGCTAGTAAAAATACGCCGCCATATTCTGTTGTGAAGACATACATACAGACCGAACCATTCATAAACCTGAGGGCACAGGTAGAAAACACTGACACATTTTTCTTTTAAATTTCTCCAGGTGAAATTAATCATTTTGTTGTTATTTGGGAAAGAAAAAAAGAACTCTGCACCAAAATACTTTAGAAACTAGTTAAGTATCTTTTCTAGTTCCCTGTTGAATTCTGTGAAATAGGAAAATATAACTGTGGTTTTATTTCTTTCTAGTTTAAACTGACAAGCAACTTTTTTGTTGGCTGCTGAATTCATCTTCTTGAGTTGTTATAAAGTATCTTACATGGGAAAACATAAATAAAAATTTATTGCCTCTGGAGAGGTTAATCATATTAAGGCTCCTGCTGCTTCAGAAAATGAAGACTTATAGCTGTGTTCTCACATGGTAGAAGGGGCGTTTAGGGCCCTTTGGAGCATCTAAGGACCTTAATGACCTAATAACTCCACTCTGATCCTAATCTGTTTTCTATATGTGAACGTTGGGATGACCTATTTTCTTTTCTTTCTTTTCTTTTTGGTTTTTCGAGACAGGGTTTCTCTGTATTGTTTTGGAGGCTGTCCTGGAACTCACTCTGTCGATCAGGCTAGCCTCAAACTCAGAGATCCTCCTGCCTCTGCCTCCCGAGTGCTGGGATTAAAGGCATGCGCTACCAACGCCCAGCTGGGATGACCAATTTTCAAAATGTAACAGTTGTTCTTAAGACTAAAGCATATGTTGGACAACTTACAATCTATTAACTGGAAGTCCCAGTTTGTCCTATTCTGGGTACTTTATGAACATAAGTATATCCTTTTTACTCTTTAATTCTGCTAAGATGACAAGTCACAGATAGGGAAAAAAATAATAACAGGACTCAGCAACATTAAGCTACCAACACAATCACTTGGTTAGTGAAACATACTGGAAAAGGTGGATTTTTGGTTTCTGCCATACCAGGGCACCATTATGGTCTTTATTGAATTTGTTGGCAATTTCATATACATAAGGTACATTCTGATTATTGAGCCCCCCCAACCTCTCCAATCTGCCCCTCACAACCTTTAGCTCCACCCCTCTAATTCCCTTTCAAACACTGTGGTCTCCATTTTGCTTTGAGAGCCACTGAGTTTAACCAGAATCATCTGTATGATGATGAGCTTTGAACTAGTCATTGAGCTAGGCTCAAGGTGCTGAGAATAAGCAACAGTTGAATGTTTAGTCCCAAAGAGAACACTTATATCACACATCACTATCTCTAAGACTCAGGGATCATTGTGGAAGAGCGGGTAGAAAATGTAAGGCTGGAAGACGTAGAATATCTGTGAAACGCTGTCTTCTGGGCATGGCACAGCCAAGGCAGTCATGGCACAGCAGGCGTGGCTGCCTGCAATGGACCTACACAAGACTGGACCCATCAACAGTCAACCATGGATTGGTGAGAGGCCTATGGGGCTCTATGCCTCTCCAATGACGTATTCACCATATTTTGCCATGAATTGAATTGTTATTGAAAACAGGCACATCCTGGACCGCCTCCAAGGCTATTGTTGGGACTATGGCCATCAGACGTGTGGTCTATCGAGAAGGCCTTACCAACACTAACGGTTCCCACTCATTCATTGCCTTCAAATGTGTAAGAGCAGTAAAAAAAGAGGGGGGTTAATGCTCAATGCATACTGCACAGGACAGCTTTTGATAGCACCTGAATATTTCAGTTTGCTGCTTTCTTCTTTAGCTTAATGACCAGAGGATATCAAACAAAATATTCCGTAAACCAAGTTTTTCTTAGTTACCAAAAATTGGCTCATAGGTTAAAAAAATGACAGGAATGAAGCTCATGAATAACATTTGGTGATAGTCTGAAGATAGAGATTTTCTGTCTGACCACCTGAGTCGGATCCCCAGAATCCACATGATAGAACTAACTCATAGCTGTTCTCTGACCTCTATACACTTGCTGTGGCACACACTAAAATCTATATGTAATGCATGTATATATACACAGACTCTAGGTGGTCTGATGATACACAGGACGAACACACTTGCGCACACACTAAAGTCTATATGAATGTGCATGTATATATACACAGACTCTAGGGGGTCTGAGAATACACAGGATGAACTTCTTATTTTGGGCATACCTAATAAGATTCTATGGGACCAATGATTCCAGCTGGAAATGAAAAGATGGCTGAAATAGATGAATAGATTGAAATTTCATACTCACAATTTTTAAGATTTATTTATTATGTACAGAAATTTTATACTCACAATTTTTCAAAAAGATTTATTTATTTATTCATTATGCATACAGTGTTTTTCCTGCATGACAAAGAGGACACCAGATCTCATTATAGATGGTTGTGAGACACCATGTGGTTGCTGGGAACTGAACTCAGGACCTCTGGAAGGGGAGCCAGTTTCTTAACCTCTAAGTCATCTCTCCAGGCCCCTCACACAATTTTTTTAAATAAGTAACGCATTAGTCACTGTGTCAAGAATCTATAGACACAAAAGTTAATACAACCACACCAGTGGACAATGGAACAGGAAATAAGTGTGACAAGAGAACTAAGTGTTTGGGAAGTGCAACGGATGGGCTATCAGTGAGAAGAGTAGATAAAGGGAAAGAAGGTGGTACCAGAGGTGTGATGTTGTTAAAAATCTAAATGAATTGGCCTAAAGAATGGAGAACAGGTTACGTTTAATGTCAGCTGTCAACTGATTAGAACTCTAGAGTCACCTAGGAGATGAACTCTGGGCATGCCTGTTAAAGACTGCATTGATTAGGTTTACTGAAGTGGGAAGAACCACCCACTGTGGTGGCACCACCCCCGTGCTAGGTTCCTGGACTGCATAAAAATGATAAAGTGAGCAGCTGAGCACAAGCAGCCATCAATCTCCACTTCTTCGCTGTAGATGCAAGTGTGTGCCGAAATGACCTAATAAAGAACGAGGAACAGCTGAAATAAAAGCACATTGGACTAGGTCCGAGGTCTGGAATCTGTCTAATGGGCAACCTGACAGAAACGGTTCAGATAGAGGTTCTTAAGGTGGAGTTTCCATATTAGCAGCAATAGCCAAGACCCAACCCAAGACCAGGAGTACACTTTGGTCGATTGAGAAGTCTCGAAACATATGTTTATTGAAACACTATTCAGAACAGCCAAAATAAGGAGATTTGGTGTGTATGACTTTCAAGTAGGAGGGGCATTATTTGGGAGGAGGAAGGAGGTAGGGGAGCACAAGAGAAAATAATGTGGGATAAATGACAATGTAGGTGATATGTATGAGATAATGACAAATAATACACAGTTTTGCAGTGATTACACACTAAGAAACAATGCAGTACAAATGTATTTTAAATGCCACTTACAATAGCTAAGAAGGTGTATCTTATAAGTGATTATATTCAATTTTCGTCACAATGAAGGATTAAGAAAAGAAGCCTGCATATGACGATGCTAACTAGGAAAGGCCACTGAAGAAAACCACTTCTCCATGTTGGAGAGAACCACATTTTCTAAAGGCAACGAGACAAACGCCCACTCCCCAACTTGACACTCTCAGAGGGCTCCTAAGAGTGAATGAAGTTCTGTCCACACTGCAGCAAAGCAAAAACAACCAAGAGCCCTGGTCAGCAGGACCCGCGGAGTCCCCATGGATTGCTAATAACCAGGGCTGGAAGCGCTGCTCTACGGGCCAGATGTTACAACCACAGTTCCCCAGGGGCGCAGCAGGAAGGCTGGTGCAACTGGTTCAAGCAGTGCTTACAGTCAGCAGCTCACTTTAAGTAATTTCAGACACAGGCACACTCAGCTTACACACTCTTTGCAAGAGCCCCAGGGCACCTCTAACAGCAGTAACTTGAGGAAAAGACTATGATTGCTCATGGAAGACAATAGAAAGCATTCTGTAACTAAATGCCATGCTTCTTCCTTCCTTCCCGTTTCAAAACAAAACACAGCCAACCGATAATGTATCAGCTCTTAAACAGGAGTGGAAACAAATGGTAGTTTGATCCAGGATCTTTCTGAAGCAAACATACAAGTTTCTCAGTCACACAACACTTTTTCTTTTTTGTTTTTTTTTTTTTTTGTTGAGTGCATGCACACAGGGGTGTGTGCACAATTTGGCTTGTATATCCTGAATCACACACAGCGTTTCAAAGAACTTGACTTCTCTAAGTCCATTTCAAATTTTACAACTTTATTATTTGATTACTTACTTAAAAAAAAGGTAGAGAAAAAGATTAAAAAAAAAAAAGAACTATCTAGCATCTTTTCACAAACACAGCAGCAGGATTATGTATATTGCCTTCTTGTCTTTTTTTTGTACATTTTCACACCATTTAAAACAAAAACCCAGTATCATAAATGCTTATACCATTTCCCCCTCATTTCATAGCACGAAGTGATCATGATTTCCACTTGATTGGTACATCTATTTAGTTTTTCGAGATTACACGAAACTTCCCATAACTTCTTAAGGAGAAATTCCTAGTGCATCCAGTATTTTTCAGCCTCAGATGCATTGTACCAAATTGCCTTGTGGGAAGATGGTGCCAAGATACAAGCATACAGTCCCATTTCAAGCTCAGTCATTTGTTAGCAGAGTAGGGAAATAGATGTTCTCACCAGCCTTTGCTGTCAGTTAAGTAGGAGACATGATTGACAAGGTTTTGGGCTTTGTTCCCTTACATTCCTGCAGGCCACTGCTTTCCTTCTGGCTTCTGGAGGAGTTGGTATCTTGACGAAGTGCACTGTCTCTCTCACCACACGCTCTTCTTTCCAGGCGAAGACACGAAGGCCACACATCTTTCCCGCTTTTGTTTAAGCAAAGTCCCCCAAAGACTAGAATTCATAAGTCTCCTTGTGGCAGCCATGCTGTGTTAATGTCTTGGTGGTAAAACAGAACACTGGGCCATGTTCTGAAAGGAAGACAGCAAGTAGAGATGATGACTAAGGCAGCAGAGAGCATGCTAACCACCCCAACACTTCCTAACAAGCGAAAACAACAACAAAAACCTTGAGATTCAGGAGTATAACAAGGACTCATGGGGACACATACTTATTAAATCTCCAGATAATCCCTGTGTTCACCAACATTTAAAAACCACTAGTTAGGGCAAGCAAAATTGCTCAGGGGGTAAAGGTACTTGCCACCAAGCCTGATAGCTCGAGTTCAATCACTGGGATACACATGGTAGAAAGAGAACCAATCAACTCCTACAAGCTAAGCTGTCCTCGAACCTCAACATGTTCACCGAGGCATGAGTATGTCTGTCTACATACACACATACATTTTAAAAAATGGTAGTAAAAACAAACAAACAAAAAACAAACCAGCAACAACACTAACCAGATATGGTACTTCAGGAGCAACTCTTGTTTTTTCCTTTTCTTCCTGACAAGTGAGGTCAGTGCCACTCATCTCAGGGGACCGCTCTTAGACTCATCATGTCCCTCCACGTCTACAGGCATCAGGGCACACTGCATTCACCCTCTCCCAGCTTCAGTTATCATCCATGCAACCCCTAATCCTTATGTCACTGAAGTTTTAGTGTGTCTCAATTGGCAACACAATGGGATCTTCATCATCACTGGGAATCTTTGGGTATTGTTCTAAATTTTGTTTGTTTGTTTTGGAGATAGGATTTCACTATGTCTTCCTGGCTGGCCTGAAACTCACTATGTAGACCAGGCTGGCCCTGAACTCATAGATATTTGCCTGCCTCTGCCTCCCGAGTGCTGACATTAAAGGTGTGCACTGCCACACCCTTTAGCTTGGTTTTGTTCTAATCTGGAGTTTGGCACAAAATGGGCAAACTGGTGCTTCTGAAATGAACTAGTGAGTTAATGAATGATAAACATCCCAAATGTGATTCAGGGTGAGAATTATTAATACCGGGTTCCTTACTATTCCAGAATAGTGACCACAGCACACAATTTTGTCTAATAGGCAATTCTTCATTTCTTCAACTCTCGTTTGACGCCCGATGAATGCTACGCTTATTAACCCATGTTAAAGTGCATATTTACAAAACCACGTAACATCAGCTTCAAAAAGATCACTGATTTATACTGTCTGAGCATGTCTCAGATTTCTTTTTAAGGAACAGACTTTGAGTGTGAAACCATACTGAGTGTCAGGTCAGCAGGAAGACAGCAAAGTTTGCAACCAGATCATATCCTGTGAGTCCAACACTGACTCAGAATTGGCCTCAGAGGAACTCAGCAGGGGCCGCTCAGATGTTGGTTTGCTAGAAATCGTTTAGTTCAAACCACCAGTTCGAGATTGGTAGAGTTTTAGAAAAAAATCTTGTTCCCTCCTCCTCCCAGTTGGAACACTCACAAGGTCTTCTTGCACCTCAGCCATGACAGAACACTTCATGGGAGGAAAATTTATGTACTCATTGAATAAGTATTTATCTCCTAGGTATCCAGTGTTGGAACCAGGGGTGGCTCCTCTCAGGGAAGACATGAATTACAACATTCTCGGCTTTCCCAGTCCTAAAGCCCGAGACCCTATGGTCACAGTGGTGTACTGCAGCCTGATGGCATCAGTTCAGGGGGGGCCACTTTGTAACTTCGGGATGGCTTCAAGTTGGCTGGCCTGAAGCATTCCATGCAGGACAGAAAACACTGTTAATCACTTCCAACCGCCTGATGCCTCCACCACACTAAAAGCACGGCTCACTCCTGAGCTCCTAGGTGGTAACTCAAGCAGGGACAGCCAAGGTGTCTAGGAGTACCCCCGGGTCTCTGAAGACACCCGGGGGTACTTCCTCTTTAGAGACAAGAGGGAGCGGAAGTGGAAGGATGCAGGCTCCTTGCTACTCTAGTTAATCAAGAGCCATAAAACTTCCACATAAAAACAACACTTTCTAGGCTTCCCAGTCAGTTTAAGTTATATCCTTAGGCTGAATACCGGAGTCGAGAATCCACCAACCTGCAACTTGTCATCCACCTATCATTATTAGCTGTCTTGGTTTCATGTAACATTGACCCGAGGCGGGTATTTTCTGCTATCATTTTGTTATTGATATAGCAGAAGTATTGGCTGCAAAGGCCTGTCTACACTCTGTACAAATCTACCCAAGAGAGAATAGCTGAACACTAGAGGTCATATACAGGGAGCACATCACCAGCCTTCTGAACCAAGACAACTCCGGGACAGTGTAAGCTAGCTAATACTACATAACAAAACTCCCACCCCAGGGTCAGGCACTTGGTTGCAAACATCAGGAACAGTTAATCAGGGCACAAGTGCTTGTTGAAAACAAAACAAAAAAATGCTGACTTGCATGAATTACACGGGGAGATGGGCCAAATTTAAAGTGAAAGCAAGAGAAAATATGGTTAAAGCAGTCGTGTCTGCTTACAGGTGTAAGGCCACTTACCTTCAGGTTTCGGAGGGTTTCTGACCATTCCATCGACCCTATTTGCGGTATGGTGGTAAGGAGCAAGCTTTTGGCTTTGTTGGCATTTTCTTTCATAGTTTTTAAAACCCCATCCACTGACACCTAGAGCAAGAAGGACACAGGATTTTACTAGCATGAACTACTTCTCACAGAAATAACTTGAGTCTCTGTTTTGCTACGGTGTCATTGTGTCCCTTCCAAATTCGTCTTTAGGAAGCTAGTCCTCTTTGTGAGGGTGTCAGGAAGGGGAAGTGGGACTTGGGAGTTGATTAGGTCAGGCTGGCAGTGTTTTTTGGAATGGAGTTTGATACCACAGTGAGCCCCACCCCTACTGTGGTGACTTGAACGAGAATGCCCCATAAACCCATAAATTGGAATATTTGGTTCCCAGTTGCTGGAACTGCTTAGGAAAGATTAGGAGGTGTGTCACTGGGGGCACTATAGCTCTCTCTGCCCTCACTCTTGTGGACCAAGATGTATGTTCTCAGTTACTGTTCCAGTGCCATGCCTGCCTGCCTGCTCCCACACTCCCAGTCACGATGGCAGGGATTCATTCACCCTTTGAACTGCGCACCCAAGTAAACTCGTTCTTCTATGTCTTGGTTATGGTTCTTATATCACAGCAATTTACAAGCAACTAAGATACATTATATGTCCTGTGAGGTCCAGTGAGACTATGACTACAAAATGGGCCCTCACCAGACAGAGCCAGTCAATCTTGAATTAACCGGTAGACCTATAAAAACAAGGCCTTTTTCTTTCTTTCTTTTCTTCTGTCTAGGAGCTACATGTAATGGGATTTTCATATACCTGCCTGAACAGACTAAAACAGATCTGTGCTATAAAGTCTGCTCACTCCAAATTCAATCCCGAGCCCAAATGCCACTCTTCATTTTAGGGCAAAGACCTTAGAGCAGCTCAACGCTATTTCTGAGAAGCCTGAGAAAATTTCACAGATGTCAAACAGCGGCAACAGCTCCTGCCCCCCCCCCCCCCCACTTCCTGGTCCATAGAAAAGTAAGTTCCAGCCTAAAACTTGCCATCCTGTATAACTACACAGGAGCTAAGCATTCTAAAAGCACTTTTTTTTTTGAGGGGGGGGGAAGTCAAAGTGCCATCATTTCTATGACTCCTGGTTAATGGGCCGTTAACACCTGGTTAATACCAACAAAACCCAAGAGTCCCAAGAAAGAAACAAACCACCTCAGATTCTGTGTTTCCTGTCACTAAATACCATCACGATGCTCAATTTTCCTTCTATATCTAAACCCAGAGAGACACACGCTGTTAGGATGGAGCGTGTACCATCTGGAGTGTGGGAGATGGGACAGGACAAGGAAGGCCTTGGTTTCTGCCTTCCCTGTCCCCATTCCCCATTCTGTTGGGTTTTTGGTTTTGTTTTAATTTTACAATTTTACTTTATTTTTTAGGCAGGCCCTCACCGTGTAGCTCAAGCTGGCTTCAAACTCATGATTTTCCTGCTTCTGCCATGCCAGGTGCTGCAACTCAGACACAAACCAACTATGCAAGAAAAAGAAAATCACCTTGGGGACTAGGGATGAAGTTCAGGGGTAGAATGCTAACCCAGAATAAAGTAGGCCCTAAACAACAGGATCTCAGAAGCCGTGTGTGCGCACGCGTGCTCACATATGTACAAACATGTCAACTGGCATGATGACTGACGAGTGGCTGGGCTCCTAAGTGCTCACGTTATCATCTACCTTAGCAGATGAATGCCTGGTTCATCAGGAGAAGCTGACCACCAGGCCTAGAACCCTTGCCTTGCTTTATCCCACTTATGAGAAAGCCAAGAAGAACCAGGGACACATGACCGCATCTTTGTGTCTCCTCATCCAGATGGCTTCTACAAACACCAGAAGACGTGAGTGCCACCGCAGTGGCCACTCTGCTATAGAGTGTCCGGCACACACACAAAGGTGCAATTGAAGCTGAGTCAATAAACACAGGGGCTATGGCAGTCAGAGAGACTTACCACTATTTATACCTCTCCTTCCTTTGTTCCTGCTGGTGGGTTCCATTCAAAATGCCCTTCCCATTGACCCGGTGACTCACAGCAACCAGCTAACCCTCACTTAAAGGCAGCGCCCAAACCTCCAAGGTTACTCTCTTTGCTCGCCCACTCCATGGAGTTGCTGGTGATAACACTCGTATGAGTCAGCACTCCTAAACCACTTACGGTCTGACTGGCATGCCTCCCACGCACGGGCTCGTGCTTTGGGAGACCGTGGGTTCTTTAAGAGGCACACTGTAGTGGATAGGGTTTCTGAAGGTTATACTCAGGTCCCAATTCTGACCATTCTGGTTCCTGCTCCTCCTCAACGTGAACAGTTGTTACCTCTCCTTCCTAACGCTGTGGCCCTTTGGTGCAGTTCGGCATGTTGTGGTGGCCCCCAACCATAAAAACATTTTCCTTGTTACTTCATAGCTGTGATCTTGCTACTGTTATGTATCACAACATAAGTATCTGTGTCATTTGACGGTCTTAGACAGCTCTGGTGAAGGGCAGTCCGACCCCCAAAGGGCTCACGACCCACCGGTTGAGAACCACTGCTTTAGGAGGTTGTTGCAGGGAACCAGGACAACGGCCCCAGAAAGGCACCGCCCCCTCCTTATTCAGTGTAGCTCTCTTTGCTTCCTGAGTGTGACATAGGAGCTGCTATGGCAGCCTTCCCAGCTGCATGAAGTAGCCGAAACCTTTCTCCCCATAAGCTGTTCTGTCAGATACTCTGGTTACCGGTGACAAACGTTTCCCATTAATTGAAAGGAGCTCCTTCCCATCCTGGAGCTGGGAGTAGCTCACAAAGCTGCCAAGCCAGATAGAGCCAGCCTCAAAACTCTCCTATAAATGCACAGTGACAACACCAAAGAATTGGGATTCATTTATGCTGTTGCCCAACAAGTACACATGGGCACAAGATGACATGGCCACGTGAAGCCGTTTTGCATATAACTAGATGGAGAAACAGGAGCTCTGACACAGCAGCCCACTAGAAGAGGGTGTGCACTCGCCTCTACATGTCTTCAAAAAGTCTCTCATAGTTTTCCTTACCTTCTCTTTTTTAAATGAAACAAATGACAGGCAAATGATCTTTCATTTCTTGGGTGAAACAAAACAATTTTAAGAAAAGGGGGGAGCTTAGAATAAAAGAGGCTGGCAGGGCCTGGTGACCTGAGCTTGTAATCCCAGGTACTTGGGAGGCAGAGAGGGGAGACTACCAAATTCAAGACTGGATGGGAGACTCAGTGAAACCCGGGCTCAAAATAAAAAAGCAGATTAAGAACATGACTCAGTGATAGAGAACACTGACTAAGATAACCTCTATCTTCCTCAAACAGAAATGTTGGCTCCTTAAAGAACATGTATTTCCATTCTTAGGCTGAGTACAGTATCTGGCCACAGTACATTAAACAGGATAGGGACTCAGGGTTTTCTTTCTCCATGAAAGTAAATATAATAAACAGCACAAGGAACCATACTCAAAGAACATCTTTATCTTTAAGGCTCAAATCTCAATAATTCTCAACTCATCTATAAGCCTATATAATGTCAATCATTATTGACTCTCAGATAAGCACCTCGCCACCATCCATGGAAGATCTCATCTTCCAAAAGAAAAACAGGAAATAGCTTATAAAGCCTAATGAAAACTTAAATAATGCTGATCCTTCCCAAGATGAATCCAAGGAAAATCAGTAAGACATTTTCTTAGCAGATCATGACACTCAGAAGCTCACACCACACACAATCAGGAGAGACCCACTTACCGCTTCTTCATGCTCCTTCCAACAATCATAATCGGTTGCCATGGCAATGCTCGCATAGCAAATTCCAGCCTCCTTAGCAAGCACCACCTCTGGAACCGTAGTCATATTGATAACATCTGCACCCCAAGTACGGAATACAAAACTTTCTGCCCGAGAGCTGAAACGAGGCCCTTCAATTGTGACTATTGTTCCCTTGGAATGGCATCGAAGACCAAGCTTCTTGGCTGTTTCTATGAGGACCTGCAAAAGGAGGAAGTGGTCTCAAACCACACAGACCTACACCAGCACAAGATTTCGTTTCTCTATGATGTTTAGCAAGCTACCTACAGCACAGTTTGACTACAATGTCCTTAGAGGACACCTGGATCACTGAAAGGTAGTGTCCAGCTCCATACTAACACATTCCTGCTGTCCAGGTGTACTGCACACACAGCTCGTGGATCTTAGAGAGTAGTGCATTGGATTTCATTTACTTTTTAGGAATTTAGGAAGGCTAAGCCGGGGCTTCTGTCTGGACTTGTGTCGTAGGTTCTGACCCATCACACTTGCTCAGCTGAGGCATCATTTTTCACGCACAGACCAAACTGCTAGTCAAGTGCCATTTCCCAAGGTACAGGGCTGATCAGTCACAGATGCTGTGGCCTTTTGGAAAGCCTTGTAGAAAGCCACCATTCTTTAGCTTGCCATCTCTCTAAGGACATACAGAGAAAGGAGAATGGTTGTCCTGATTTTTTCTTCTGTCCCGAGACCAACTTATCTAGGCATTGGCTACTTGTTACTTCAGGGCCACTCACGCATAGGTTTTTCTTTTAAGAAACATTGGGCCGGGTAGTGGTGGTCACACCTTTAATCCCAGCACTGGGAAGGCAGAGGCAGCTGGATCTCTGTGAGTTTGAGGCCAGCCTGGTCTACATAGCAAATGCCAGGACAGACTCCAAAGCTACACAGAGAAGCCAAAACCTGTCTTGAAAAAACAAAACAAAACAAAAGTCAAGATCCAAGTTTCATCAGAAACAGTTCTGAGGCTGAAGAGACGGCTCAGCAGGCAAAATGCTTCTGTTTAAAATAACTGAGAATGGGGGGTTTATCAACAATGGGAATCGACTCCCAGCTGAAACGAATGCATTTCAAACGTAAAGCTGAGGCAGGAAGAGCGATGCCTACTCAGCCAACTGATCCACCTGCAGATGTGATCCCGAGACCTTATACTCTGTTCTGACATGTCAGACAGACTACAAACCTCTCTTGTCTTGGGGCAAAAAGGTTCAGCCATTGGGATATGGCACACTCCTCTGGCGCTGCAGTGACTTCCGTCATAGAAGGTCTGAGGCCTCAGGGATGTCCTAGAAAGACAAAGTGGCAAGGTTTTGACTTCCGTTACAGCACCATCTGTCCTCTGTGGGTTCCCCCACATCCAACAGCTGTAGATAAGGGAAGGTAACTGTCATAGAGCATTTTCAGGTTTGAACTGGGCTCTTAGCTCTGGGCCGGTTGCAACGGGCTCCTAACCAGACACAAAAGTGTACCCATTTGAGATGGTCAAGTACACCTCACTGGGACCTCAGAGAGGGCGGGGAAAGCCCCAAGTCAATCTGAAAACATTTCATCACGTCTCAGCAGACTGCAGAGTGCTGCTGCCTAGACTCACTTGTTCCCAAAACTGTATCTGATTCATTTTATTTGTTAGCTTCTGCATAAATGTAAACTGCAAGCGTTGACTCAAACCACACCCCCATCTCCCTAAAAAAAAATCTTAAAAAAAAAACAACTTTTTAAACAATTGCTTTGTTTCAGTCCATACAACATCCTTAACCACATTTAACTTTCATATGTCTAAAGTAGAAATAATTCTTGCTTCACCCCAGTCACATTTTTTTCCAGGCCGTGGATCCACCGAAGAAAGCGGCTAAACGGTCCTGCTCTACAGGGAGTCTGTCTCCTTGCTGGCTTCTCTGCCCACTTTAACTAGGTCTTAAGTGTTTTCAAGTGTTCTGCTAAAATCTTTTTTTTTTTTTTGGAATTCACAAAAGACAGGTGAGAATAAGTTTACTGCCAGCTCACTCAACTTCTTCCTGGAAGCTTTCAGAAAACAAATACGAAATACTTTTTTATGTGCATCGATTTTTCTAAACTTAGCAACTGAGTAACTCAGGGAAAACACCACCCCCCTTCCCTACAGAAGGGAAGACGGGGGAGGGGTAGAATGGAAACTCTTCTTTACTGGTTTTATTTACACAGCTTTTTGTTTACTGCCCCAAATTAACCATTCCTTGGGCTACATCACAGTCAGTGACCCTAGCTGGTATCAAAGTCACCTCTCTTGGAGATAAAGAAGCCCTATTGCCACGGAAGGGTGTACACCTCACGTCTACAATTCCTGAAGGAGAAGTCAGGGTTAACCCCACAGCAAATCCAGCGGAGGTTAAAGAATGGGTCAAAGGACAGCTCTAGCTTCCATCAATAGGGTTTCCCCTCGAAGACTGACCAACAAAACAATGCCATGTTATCACCTCCAGATCTGTCTCTAATGAGTCAAGTTGTATCAATGCCCTCACTTGCAACTGAGATTATAAAGCAGACACATGAAAACCTCCAGTAGCTATGGCAACAGTAGTTATGGCAACAGATGTCCATGTAGGAACAACTATCTCTTCAACATGTCCACTGCTTCTCCGTCTCCCCACATCTCTGCCTTGTGGCAAACACACGGAAGAACATGCCCCACATCATGCTATGTTACTAGACACTGGTCGACTGGTCTTAAGTACCGATTTCAAATGGAACACTTTACATTTTTCTTCCTAAATGTGAAGGCATCCAATTATAAGTTACATAGTTCCAGCTAATTCTGCATACTTTTGATTCTCCCATTTTCTAATAAAACATAGCTAGGTCTGGGGCCATATGTCTTTGATTCTTGCACTCAGGAGGCAGAGGCAGGTGGATCTCCGTGAGTTCTAGGAAAGCCAGGGCTATAGAGTGAGACTCTGTCTCAACAGACAAAATAAAACCAAACCAAACCCAACAAACATACAAACAACAACAACAACAAACCCAGAGTGCTCATTCTTCCATTTATAAAGGGATTAGGAGAAATAAGTGAGCCAAGATGGCCTGATAACTCATAGTAGAGACATCTGAGGGTCAGCTGTAGGCTGAGGTCAGAGAACTAGACCCTGCAGGGGACCCCCCAGAAGAGAGGAAAAGTTAGTATTAACATCGATGCTTTACTCACCCACGAGGATGCATACACCTGTCTGTGGTATCTGCACCACTAACTTCAGTGTCACCACGTTCAGTGAGATGGTTAATGATCACTATAAATACAGTTGTTTACACTAACTGAATTCTGACAGAACAAGGGGTTCACAACCACTGCTGAGAATTGTGCAGGGCACCCCAAAGGAAAATGTGTGTCATCTATGGAACACTTGATGTCCTCCGAGACCCTGTCAGAGAAACTGGATACTCTAGAACTCAGTCAAAGCCTGGAAAATTCTTCAAGACACACCTAAGAGGAGAGACCGCTAACAAAGCTGCAAGGCCACTCCCCATTTCCAACCAAACCAGCTTGCCTAGATTCACAATTATAGCTGAACTGTGGAGTTCAGTCATTGGCTGAGTGATAGGGCAGGAGATGTATTTTATCCCATGGTTTGAATTTTTTTTAAACTTAAATATGCAGTGTACAAACTCTTTAACAACTAAAGCAAAATCCTCACAGCTACATAAGGCTCGTACAACCTTTAGATTTCTATGTTGAAATCCTATCCCTTAAGGTCACACTCGCTGGAGGCTAAGACCAGCAGGCACACAACATGCCCTTACAAAAGAGGATCCAGGGAACTAAGTAGTTCTTTTCTTTTTTACTACACAAGGACACAGCAAGAAGATGCCAAGAAAGTAAGCTCTTCTCAGACACCAGATCAATTTACACCTTTCCTGACCTTCTCAGCCTTCCAACCGAGAAATTTCTGTTGTTCAGAAGCTAATTAATCTACAGCATTTTGTTATAGCAGCTGGAATAGTCTAAAATACTTGCACCCTTGCTTAAAGATGGGAACAGCACCAGAAACTTCAGTCGCTACCCCTTAATACACTCAGAAGCAATCACATCTCAACGCTACGTTTGGGTAACGCCTACCTCACCAGAGCTCCACACACAAGTCCTTAGGAGGCTATGACTATTTTATCTTACAGGGCAAAGGGCAGCAAAGGTAGCAGATGGCTAGTATGAAGTTGACTTCGAAACAGAAAGATACTTCTGCATCAATTATGTGGGAACAATGTTATCATTAGGAGTCCTCACACATGCAAGAGGGCAGCAGATGTGTAGATGACAGAGAGATAAGAACTTCATTATTGCCGGCACTGGAAGGATATGGGCTTAACATAAGCCAGAGTATAGGGGACAAAGGGTCAGGAAATGGACTCCACCTTAAGTAGACTAATATGGCCTTGCCAACAGCTTTTATATCTTTATAAAGGGCCAGTGAGACCCATGTTAAACTACTAACCAAGTAATAACAAGATGATAAATCTGTGGTAACTGCCTAAGTTTGTAATTAATTTGTTATAGCAGCAATAGGAAACTGATACACTTGCTTCTGTAGTTTGATATACGATCAACCCAGTTATGGCCTCTACAGCAGTAAAACACTACTGTAGAAGGTCTGCTCCCTGTACCAAAGAGATAAGTTTTGCCTCCTGATTAAACATGGAGTTCAGGGAGTGATTACCAGGCTGGCTTTACTACTCATTGACTGTTTGCTTCTGGGAAAGCTACTCTGGTCTCTGCACCTTAGATCTTCCTCTATTTAAAAGGGGGGGGACAAAGTCACTTGTCCTAAATGGGCTATGTGAGGGTGGAATGAGATAATATAACACAGGGGTCGGCATCGGCCACTGCTGCACATAGGACATCTGCTTCCGTACCCTCTTTTGTGAACACGGGAGTCTGGCATTTTGATGGACTTCAAGAGAACCTCTGAAACCGCCTGAGGCTGTCAAGCAGGGGTAGACACTATTTTAGCTGTTTCTGTTGGTGATAAAAAGCACAGTGACAGAGGCTTGAGAAAGCTGATGTTTTATAGCCACAAAACAATGCTGAGAGAAGGCATGCCCACTAGCTTGCTCTCGGGCAGCTTTCCCCTTTCACATCATTCAGGACCCCTGCCTAGGGAATGGTGCTGCCCACAGTGGACTAGCTTTCCTCACATACACTAACAATCAACACAACTACCCCAGGCCAACCTAACTTTGATAAGACATCATTAAGACTCTCTTTCCAGATGGCTGTTGACAGTTAAAACTAAACTAGCACAGGTGCAAAAAACACCCACCAAAACAAACCAACAAACCCAAAACAAAAAAGGCCCCAAACCAAACAAAAAAACCAAAACAACCCCAAGAAAATGGCCAAATAAAACACGTCTTTGAAAGAGTGGAGGAGACAAACAAGCTTGCACTGCCATGAGACATGCGTCCAAGGTACAGTATCAGACAGGAGGAAAACCCAGAAAAAAACTAGCCACTAGGCTGTTTCTTAGGTAGAGACCCTTGAATTAGAGAGGCACATTTGTTAGATAACACCCCCCCCAAAGAACTGTGGAGTTAAAAATGCACCGAAAAGCCGGGCGATGGCGGAGCGACTTCAGTCCCAGCACTCGGGAGGTAGAGGTGGGTGGGTCTCTGTGAGTTTGAGACCAGTCTGGTCTACAGCGTGAGTTCCAGTATAGCCAAGGCTGTTACACAGAGACACCCTGTCTCGAGGGAAAAAAAAAAGCACTGAAGAAAAGCACTGTCCTCTTGGAAACAGACGCCTCTGAGGTGGTTTCCGAAAGTAGCCTCTGCGCTTTGCAAGCCCCAGCACGAGTGCACATGAATGAGTCAGTTAACCTGATGCTTTGCTCACAAGGATGAATTCTGGGGAAGGGATTCTCCCGGCTCATTAGGATTATAAAACGCTCCAATTTCAGGAGTAGTCCTAATTGATTATAGTAATAACAACAGCAAAAACAAGAACCGAGAGAGAGAGAGAGAGAGAGAGAGAGAGAGAGAGAGAGAGAGAAAAGAATCATCCAATGCATGCTAATACCTCAGTGAGATGACACTCTTTAATAAAGGGGCTTCATCATTCCTTTTCATTCTCTCTATATCTTATGAGATCTTGCTCACAGTAGACTAAGCAACAGTGTAAGAGCTGGAGATGACTCAGCAGTTAAGAACACATGGAGGCTTGCAACCACCTACAACTCTAGTTCCAGGAGATCCAACTCCTTCTTCCGACCACAGGCATGTGGTGTACACACACACACACACACACACACACACACACACACAC